CTGTTGCAAGTTCTACCTAAATATAATGTTATCAACGATTCTGACTAAATACCCCACAGAACAGGTATACAATGTTTCAGGCAATTATTATTAGCACTGAGGCGATTTTTTTGCGACTTGGCTGTAACGGACAGCGTTTTTTCTTGCAGCCAGTCATTAAACCTTTTCTTCAACTGAGTTTCAGACGTTAAAGTCGTGCTTTGCTCCGAAAAATGCTTGGAAGTGAATTTCATCGCCTAAAGGTTTGGTAAATCATCAGCGTGTTGTTTAGAACTTATTCTATTATGTTTGTTGGTCTTAAGTGGAAAAGTAATGTTACCTGTTTGGCTTATTTGATTGCATGCCCATCTCATTTAAAACTTTTTGGACTGCAAAGTGGTCCATGTTGATGTGACTGCAAGCTGAGGGAACCCAAGGATTGAGTGAACCGACAATCGTTTGCAGTGCTGCATGCTCTGCTTATCCTGACATTGCCTTTCCACCTATCAAATGTTTATTCACGGGCAATAGAAACGGATTTTAACGTAATGAAACGCGTGAATTATAAATAAGCCTGTTTGCTGATGCTGACACGACTTAATACATGTCCTGAGCGACTCTAGCTGTAGGGCGGCTTTTCATCAGGTCTGCCGATTGACGGATGGATGGTTGGTTGAGATCGACGGCCGCCGAAAAGGTTGCTTTTATGGATCTACCAAGCGGCCAGTAGTCATAAAATCAAGCACCGTAATGACCCCATCACCAACTACTCCTTATAATCATAATATAACCATACGTTTGATTACCTCACTGACCTCTCCCTCTCTCGTCACTTCCATTAGATGTGCACTACTTAGTGCTGGTTTTGGAAAAAGCACTCCCGCACAGGTGCGATTCGCCTGAATTGATTTGGCCAAAATCACCAACAAATCCCGGTACAGTCATCCGTGTGAATGTGGAATTAGCCTAATTTACTCCCGAAGGCGTCATCTTAATGATACGAAAGTACGTCGAGGAAATTATTTCATCCGAGCAAGATATGCGCCTACTTCAAATCTAGATGAGATTGCATTCGGAAAATCCTTAAATCCTTGCATAATTAACACTCCTTCAGTATTAAAGCAAAAGCTCTAATCTTCATATGGTATTTACAGTGAAATCGCATAGCTAGGAAGTAATTGTACTGATATTTGGCATTAGATTTTGACTTCCTATGTGATCAACCCTCCTTGCCTACTCAGGCAAGGGATCAGTTATACGTGATTTACACCGAAAGATATTCATTACCGGCGCACCGGAATTACATTCGGCATTTGGTTCTTGCATGTGTATTTAAGACCAATTGAGTAACCGTGGTTGCTTGATGGAATCATTTTCCAGTTGATAATTGTTCTATGGTCTCTTCAAATAGGAAAACAATGCAACTTATTGTAGGGTGGTGTTGGGCGTGAAATTGAAACTTCATCCACACCGTATTGCAATCTGGAGTCCTTATCACGGTTAACTTTTTGATGCCTTGATGAGGATTTCACTTCTTCGGCTCGTTTCCGGTTGAACTCAATTGGATTTCTATGCTTACCAAACAGTTTAAACTTGCGTGCTGCAGTTAACTGTGTTGTTCGTATCTATAAACATGGAGCGTCTCACGTAGACAATCCAGTAATTTACTTCATTCATTCCAGAACCTCATTTACGAGAAACATTCGGTAGAAGAGGTGCAAACATCACATTTGTGCCTTACTGAAGGGAGGAAGAAGGGAAAAAACCAGTCTAGCTTACACAGACTTTTCAGACAGCCTGCAGTAAACTTCCTTCCCCGGAGATATGCATTTTGTTGGTTGCATAAGCCAACCGACTATCCCGATTGGAGGTTCACCTCACATTGTAGTAATTTTATTAAATGTGCCAATCGGGTTTTCCATCCATCCATCAATACGATTTCGTAGTTCTACTCTTTTTTTTCAAAAAATAATTGGCTGGAATAACTATTTGTACTTCTAACTTGATTTAAGTAATTCAAAGGCAAATTAATATAATCCCTGAAAATTAGACTTGGTCGTATTGTGATTTTCTATTTTTGAGTGCTTAAAACCTAAAAATCCATCGGAATCGTACAGATGCGATTGTTGTAGTTGCATACTTTTGACTACACATTCTCTACTTTTAGGGAGCAGGCGTTTCCATGGTCTCCCGGATGCATGTGGTCTTCCTCTTGAAGAATGTCGCTTATCGACTGGTCGTGTTGACGACGCCGGATATTGATCCTGACCCTCGCTTTCTTCATTGCCTCCTCCACGATGCTCCACCGAAACCCTTCGAACAGGGACAATCGAGCTGTGCCAATCTCGTGTACGTTACATCAAATGTTGAAATTACTCACAAAATCATCTGCGTTTATTTTTACCTGTCACGCCGGCGTATTTTTACCATTAATAGTAGTTTCTTTTACGAACACGGTAGCATTTGTTTAGTCCATCACTGACTCAGACCTCTCATCACCGTTTTATTCATCATTCGCTCATTTCCGTTACACCGTTTGTCTCGACACCTACAAGTCCATTTGCACATGCCTCCTAGCAGTAGTGTATTTTACTGTTAGGCCTTGCTTGAAACGATATAGCGATGCAAACAGTCAAGGGATTTTATGGTTCTGGTGACAATATGCTAATTACTGAAGCCTACACCCGTTTTAGAGGGGCAAGTATTATGGCGCGGTGCGGCACGGTGGCGGCGGCGATTGAGGGAGGAAGAGGACTAGGGGATAGCAAAACCAGTCGTTTCCTTAATGTTTCCTTCGGATGAGTGTGTTTACGAGTCT